AGTGACATAGGTAGCATATTGGGGTGTAATAGGATAATTTTATGTTGATGATATACGTTTTAAAATGAACAGTTTAATACAGATATTTAAGTTTTATTATATTTAGTTATACACCTATACTCGTATTTAAATGTTAATTCGTATAAAATTTCAAATAAATATCACTATCAGCACTACAGTGAGTCACTTGTAACCACTTCATATTATATTATTATTCTATTTCGTTTAATAATCGTTTTGCCAGTTGGTCGTCTTACTATTTTAATCTTATTTTATGCACATTTTTCTACTTCATCGTATCGAAACAAGCTAAAAATATTAAATGGATTATAATTATCAATAATAATAATTGGTAATTTCCATGTTCGTATAAGTTAATTCTAAATAAAATTCGATAAATGCGTTCTGTTAAAATGTAACGTTTTATTTTTATTCCGTACAATAATATCACGTTATCATTTTAATACTGAGAACAATTAATATTTTTTTTTTTCAAAAATGTTCTTTTAATAACAATTCATACTAAATAATCAAAATGAGAGTTCATCGAAACACTATATTTTATGTATACTATTGCGTGCGCGTCACCCTCGCCGAAGGCGTGGGCGCCTAATAAACCATATTTTATACATCTAATGGTTATGAGTATAAAATAGTTTTATTTCCTAGTAGTAGTATCACTTCCCCCCCCCCCCCAAAAAAAAAGTAATACGGTCAAATTGAGTTATTATTTTAGTGCATATAACTAATAAATGGGGTCAGTAGTAGCCGGGAAACGAGTGGCTTCAATACCATCATATTGGTTTATATGCTATTGGTCCCAAAAAATGGGACATAATACAAAATGGTTATTTTAGTTGTATAGAAAATATTGCATTTCAATGGTCTTTTGTATGTTATCTGGTATGCAATTTATAATTTTTACATTTTTTTTATTTGTATGCTACTGAGAGATATTTTGTTCAATGGGTATCTGCGAACCGATACTATTTCTCGCAATACAATTTAAACAATACACTTAATGGCGTTTGTGTTTGGGATTTCATACAAAACGGACAATATGCCAATGAAATGAATATAATAGTAATACATACTATACATCTTATGAGAATTATTTTTAACTAAAAGCTGAATTCAAGATTATATAAACCGTCAAAGTATACAACTGGAATCTGTTTTATTTTCATTTTTATGAATTACATTTTTTTAATTACCTAAGAGATTTTTATTTAAACCATAAAAAATCTGTTTTTCGGAGATAAATTTTACAAAGATATAAAACGTTAATGCTATTTTTTAGTATAAAATACTAATTGTACATTTTCGTTTATTAGGAAACGTAATTGTTTAAAATAGTATGATATAAACACAAATCACAAAGAATGACATATTAAGCAGTGTAATTTGTTAAATCTAATTGTTTGTATCGCATTACAGCGTAGATTGTTGAAATATGATAATTTGTTCCAATACTGTTTTTCAAATTATAGTTTATACCTAAAAATACTGTGTCAAAATGAATTTTTGTAAAAAAAATGTCCACTTAGCCATTAAAACTCTTGCGGAATTATCGAAAATGAGGAGTGGAATTAAACAGGCAAAATTGTATACTTAAATTCAAGTCAGTAAGTCAGATGTAGGTTGCATTACTTTTTTTAAATACTTACAATAATTATTTGTGCCATTATTACTTGCCATTTTTAGGTATAATATATATAGAGTTTTGAATATTTACAAGGTAACGCAAAAAAATCAAAACTTAAGATCTTTTAATAATATTTATTTTTTGGTAAATCTTCACAAATAGAATGCTATTTAAAACGACCAATTTAATTTGATTTTGAAAAACAATGCCTACGCGTAAAGTATGGGTTTTCAACAAGCCCAGATCGTAAACAAAAAACATATACTGTTTGTAAAAAATAATAAAAATAATATTCCAAGGCAAATCATCTACGAATATCGATTGGCTGGATATTTCAAATTAGAACAGATTTCCCTATAATAGTCACCATGCTTATAAGTTATAACCCACCTATTCAGTTCACTCTGTCACTGTAAAAAGTGTGAAATTAAGGTATAAATCCCGTTTTCAATAAAAATATGTAAATTCAGCAGTTATATCATGAAAAAAGTATACAGAGTGATTTTTTTATCATAGGCCACGCAATACCTGATAGGGGTTTAATAAGAAATTAAAATGTTTTTTTTCATATGTTTTTACTTAATGTGATCTCAGTTTTTCACAACTTTTTTTGTTTTTACCCCGCTCTTAACTTTTTTGACAGCAATTTTCGATGGTAACGTAAAATAAAATAGTTTATTAACTTTTTAAATTGAGAATAATGTACTAAACATTTTGACTGGTCGGTAATCAGTTTCGGATAACTATTTTTAAAGTGTTTGAAGTTTCAAGTTTAGAGAAGGAGCCAGGAGGAAAGGTGGAATGTAGTATTATTTTTATCTGCGTGCATTTCCAATCGTCCAAACTTTTAAACTCTATAACTTTAAAAATAGTTGTCCATATTGGTTATCAATCAGTCAAACTTTTTAGTACATTATTCTAAATTTAAAAAGTTGATAAAATGTATACGTTACCATTGAAATTTCAAAAGTTGCTATTAAAAAAAATAAGTTGGGAGGGGAGAAAAAATAATTTTTTTATTTTTATAAATGAGATCATATTGCATAAAAACAACGTGAAAAAAAATTTTATTTCTTATTAAACCCTATGAGATATTGAGTGGCCTATTATAAAAAAATCGACAAATTTCTTCGAATAGCATTTCTATATATTACAAATTTTATCCAAAGTTGGTACTTTGGAAGCGTTAAAAAAGTTCACTTCTTCAATCTTAAAATCGGGGGGGGGGTGGTTGAACTATGTAATTATTCAACTTTTAAATATGACTTGCTATAGTTTTAAGAAAAATGATCGGATCTATATAGTTAAAATGTATAAGAACTATTTATTTGGTGTACCCCAATACGACAATAGCCTCAAATCTAAATTATATCCATTTTTTACCCTTTCAGAAGGTTTTTTTTACTTACATAGTTATTTATATATTTATCTTGAAATTTTAATAGTGCCACCTTGCATTTGATTATTATAAAATCGCATTATAATCAATTTGACGTGTTACATTCAAAGCAAATCAAAATCAGATCCATTCGATCATTTAAATTATTGTCCCCGTGTCGTTTCACAGCCTGTCAATGTAGTTTAGTCATCAATTATTCGCTACACAAATGTATAAATAAGTAAACAAGCGATCCATTAAGCAATTATCAATTAAAAGCGATTTCACTCCAAATTAAACCGTCAACCAAATCTATGTAGTGTGTACTGCATAATATTTTGTAACAGTATTTCGCTGTAATAATTCAACGAAGGTGGAATGTATATTTGACTATGGGTTAATTGGTTGTGTTCGATTTAAGAACATTTAAATTTAACTTCAACTGTCTTTATTTAGATAGAAAGATAAATTTTCCCTCTTTTATTTCATTTAAGATTATTTTAATACTAGTATTAAAATTATTATAAAATACTGATATTTAAAGTTGTATCATTTGAAAGATGGTGTATGGTTATTTATTATACCGCCAGATATGTATACCACATTTGTTACAGTAAGTACAACAAAATACTGTTACTCTTAAAATTAAGCTGTGTGGTGAAAAAGATGAGTGATCGATTCTCACGCTATTTTTGGACCATATCGAAGCAGATTTAATCCATAACATAATAAGATAATTAAAGTCTAAATTACATAGTATATTTGTAATAGGATTTAAAATGGGTCAATTTTATTTCACAGTTATCTTAAATAAAATGAGGTTTTAAGCTCCCAAGTCATTTTTAAAACGACCTGTGTTGAGAAGGTGAACGAGGCAAGAAGATTTTACCATGGTGTTTTTTTTTATCCATAACTTTTTAACTACGAAATTTCTTTAATAGATATAACCAGTCTAGACCAATTGTTGAAAGTGCTCACTTTTTATTTTTAGATTTATTAAAAAATGAACAATTAACTAAACAATAACATTAATATTTAATACACAGATAAATAAATTAACAATGAATAATTCTAACAATAATAATTTAAATGTGAACCCAAAATCAGTAATAAAATTAACAACTGAAAATTCGCCTTTAAAATCGAGAAAACCCTTAAGAAGTATCATTTAGTTCAACGTCAAAAACGGAACCCTATTATTTTCCAAAAAATGGTTTCAAAATTATTTGGATACTCTTTAGATATAGCAACCAAACAGATGCGCAGTAAAACGTTAAAGAATATCATAAGACCTTCCATCTAGAAGGAATGGAAGAAGTTTTTTTGTTTCGCTTTTTTGATGGGGTAGCTTGTTTTCTGAAAATTGGACTGGAAGTAGATTTAGATTTTAGTGTGTACAGACAATTCTGTTTTGGTTCTAATTTTGGTTTACGTTCACCTCTCTCGTAGCAGTTACGTGTTTATTGCAGGGGGGGGATACGGGTAATAGGTAATAGGGGGGATAAATCCACTCCCTTGTCATTTTTTAAAAAAAGTTTTCCGTATTTTTCATTATAATATTAATATTAAGCATACCTGTTTTCTAACTATTCTAAAAAGGCCAAGGGGAGGGATCTATCCCCCATACACCCCCCTCCCTATAAAAACGCCACTGTTAGTACGGCAAGCTAAATTTTATTTTATAAACTCCTAGTTCCTGATCTAAAAAAAACGAATCAGATACATTTGAAACATCAGGCATCAGCCCTCAGTTGGGTTTGATTTCAGCTGATATTATTACGTTTTCCGTTGATTATATAACATTATTACGATGGCGAATAGACTTTACTGTGTAGTATACAATAATAATAATTGCTCCTTACAGCGCCCTTAGATGATGGTACACTGGCTCTGCCTGCTGCTGCTGCTGCAACTACAACACGAGCACGAGGAGGCGGCGACGACCACTCGGGTGTACCGTGTAGTGTTCATCTGACGACCACCGGGGTTCGACGTGTGTCCGCTTGTGTGTCTGAGCATCTGCCGACGACCGTGTGTGCACCGGCGAACGTGTATATTATTATTATTATTTTCGACACATAAACGAATCACTGTTGAACGGCCCGGGGCAAAAAACAAAAACTATTTAAACGAAATTTTTATTCCTAAAAATATTCTGTGCTTTACCCGCGTGTGAATCCGATAACGATGCGATGACTTGACGACGCGTTTGACGTACGGTCGGTTTTTTTTTTTTAATTTCAACAATTAACCCGCTTAATTAAAATCGACTTGGATATTCGGTGTGTTCTCTATTTAACGTTAAGTCGTCGGTAGGCCGTATACACGGGCATGTACGCCACCACGGTAATGGTTTTCGGTTGCCTCTTGGCCACGGCAAAAGCTTCGGTGGACAGCGGGCGGCGGCGGCGGCAGCAAGGAGACGGCGACATTCGACGAACAAGGTAGGAAGAGACGGCAAATGTCTTAGTTTATTACACTTAGCTAACCCGACTCGTCTTAGTTTACTCCACCGACAAACGAAGATAGACACCCGTTTTTTACCCCCAAAAAAATTGAACGCGTATATTACTCGAAAAGCTTTATAAAACCAATTTAGTTTTACCGACACGTGACAGCTAATAGCGTACCCAGCGATTGTTTTAATTCGATCAGCAAGAGTAATTTCAATTTTTATTTTTTTTTAATATTATAGAACTATTTCATTAAAACAATCGCATTATAAAAAAAACCTTTAATTTAAATTAACCTTTATAAAAATAGATTTAAATTGTTTTATAAACAAACAATTTTCATTGACATGTTTTATATTATATTATCTCGTCCGTTGACAATCGAGTACTTCACCCTAATTATTACACTCGTAGTTGCAATTTATTTCAATCACTTAAATAAGCAAACAAAATTCAGTAGAGTCGAGATAAATTTCAATAAGAAAAAAAAATCGAATCGAACATGTTCATGACTATGTTAAAAAATACATCCTCAGTTTCGCATCGAAGCTAAAATATACTCATTTTTAATAAAAACGCTTAAAACGTGTCAACCTTGGACACAATAATATAATATACATTTGCATACCTATTATTAAAACGCGTTTGTTTGTTTAAAAATAATTTCTTTTTTTTTTTCCAATAAAAATATTATAGGTTAATACAATTATATTTGAATGTCTATAAAACGCCGCACGGTTCAGCTGTTGTACGTTGTTGGTCGTCGCGGGTTATTTTTCTACCTCTCTGTTTCCTTTTGCCAAATTATTATTATTCTGTTGCTTTTGTTTTGCTCCAATTAAATTGCTACTTGTAAACGTGGTTTGCGCGTCCCGAAAGCCGCGTCGGACGGACGGGGACAGAGGAAAAGACCATTTGCTCTTGGGGTAAAAGTCAAATTGCCGTGGCCGTGGCGAAAAAGGCATTTCCAAAATTACCGTCGTGCTGGGCCGGCGAAAAATCGACAGCAACTCGAGGTGTCGGCGTTAATGTTTAAAGTTTTCTTACCTCCGCTTAGATCCGCCGGAAATTCCACTACCGTTGTCTTTCGGATTACTTTTTCAAAACGCTCTTTCCCTGCCCCGCAACACAAAACGGTTATTTGCGAACAGCACCCCCAAAAGGCATCGCTTATAAAAACAAAACAATGCAATTCATTTTGTCCCATACTCGTCTCCTACTTCCTCTTTCCAATGGCGGCTCAGGTATGTATAGGTTTAAATGCATTCCATGCCGGGTCTCCAACGGGTTACCCGCATCCGGTGTCCAGGAGTCCATGGCAGGAATTTGTTTTTTCAATATTCAGTTCAGTAAGTAATAACCAGGATAGACTAAAATGACAAAATGGGATTCGTGTTGTCTTGATGCGGTTTGAGCGTTTTTGTTTTGTCTTATCTCACGGGTGAGAAATTTTTCAATGACGTAGTCCACCCTGAGGTTTCAAATGATACAGTGAGACGATGCATTCGGTAGGTTTTCACTTGTAATTTGAATGCGGACAAAAGCGGCTCCATACCGGTTAGGAATTTTGCGCACAGAAAATTAAAACGAATATTCAAAACAAAGAAAGATGTCCTGTTCGTTCTTGAATTTAGGTACGAAAGCCACGGCAGAGCGTGAAATAACTATAGACTTAACTACTTACATTCGAAAGACTTAAATCACATCGACTTTTCGTATTGCGCCTGTCAACATTTTTTTATTATAATTTGCAGCATACAAACACAATAAAAATTGTGTAAATTTCATCACTAAAAAAAAAACTAAAATTAAAATGGGCCTTTATCTTTTTACAAAAAAAGGTTTGATTGTAATTTGCACCACATATGTATATTATATTATACAGAGTGATTCATTAAGACTAAGACGCTCATTTTCTCATAAAAATGTGCAATTTACTGTTTGAAAACACTTAATTTTATGTTGTTTCACAACATTAGACACTAGACAGGATTCAAATATTTAGTTTTTTCCTTTTGAAACTTAAATAGTAAGGTATTTATTTATATGCGTGCAAATACAAATAATACTACATCCCACCCACCTTCCGGTTATAAATTCTAAACTTTAATAACAATAAAATTAATTATCCAGATATAGCTATTGATCAGTCGAAATTGTCAGCTAATTATTCTTAATTTAAAAAGTTAATTAAATTTATTCACGTTCCCATTTAAAGTTCAAAAGTTAATAGCGCTCCGGAAAATATTTAATAAAGGTAAATACTTGGTAGTTTTTATAGTATTATACATTAATATAAATAGAAATGTTTTCGAAAAGAAAAACAATAAAAAATTTAATTATTTTCCAGAAAAATTAGTGTCTTATCCTTAATGAATCACTCTGTACATATTATGATAATCACAATAAAAAAACTTTGTTAGCTCAGTGTAGTTTTGTTAAGTATAAACAATTTCAAATTTTAGCTTCAATGCAAAGCGAGAAAGGAATATAACATGACATTGTATATGTGTTATTTGTTCCACTACGTTTTTGCAAAGTGATTTTATTCAATTTTATCACTTTTATTTATAATAATTCCTGTAGGCCTGTGACCTCTCCGTTTCCTCATTGCTTTGATTACATTATGCCTATACTCTACTGTACTAGTCCTCTCAGATAAAATCACTTTCAAGTTAACGCTTTGATGCTCATTTGTAAATACAGAACCTTAATTTAAAACTTTCTAACTTTGCTGGTTTATACTGTGCTTGATTTGGACTGTACTGGCTTGAAAATACTAACTACCGATTTGCATCGAAGCGTTTTTATCACTTTCAGATTTAAAAATTCCTGTAAACCTGTGACCTCCCCGTCCCCACTATGCCCCGACTCAACTATGATCCGTCCCCACTATGCCCCGACTCCACTGTACAGGTTTTTTTTTTAATGTATTTAAAAGATATACTATAAAATAGTAACAAAATGAATACCCATCACGTGTAAATAATTACTCAGATAAGACGTGATAATTAATAACTCTGCCAATAAATAAAATGATAATTAAAATCGTTATAAAAATTCAGTTTACTTGATTGGCTATTAATAAAAATTTCCCATAATGCTTATAATATAATTTAAATAAAATTGTGCAATTTTTAAACAAGTTTCTATGTATATTTTGCAATAATACAAATACTAGTATTGAAATAGTAATATGTGTTTGGTTATTTTATACAAAATAATAAAAAGCGTCGGTGATATTATATATTATAAACTTATTATTTATTTTAAACTTATATTGAATATATTATATTATTTGTTAGCCTGTTTTCCATTTTCCCTTTGAAGTTATATTATTAGAAACCACAACTATGTGATTTTTTAGTGGTCATTACATACAATTCAGTACCTTTCTTAAATATTGTTATTTTCAAAATATTTATTATTTTCTGTGACAAATTCCAATGAAGTGCAAATTATACGTATACACCAAAAATTGTTTCACCATTATGTTTTAACATTATCGAGAATCGACACCGGTTGTGTCTGTCGATAGCAATGTTCAAATTTTGGGTTATACCAATTCATTTTGATTCCACGAAAATCAACTGCGGCTACATGAGACGTCATAACATACCTAGTATACCTAGTACTATTATTATTATTTTCCCAGTTTTCCAAAACGTATATTTTTAAACCCAAACAAACGAATAAATTTGACCGCCATTGGTCGGTGCCCGTTCAAAATCTACAAGAATATAATCCTGTGATAGTAACAATAATTGATTGTGCTCAATTTGTAAACGTCCGGTCGTTTCAACACCGGTTCTATTAGCATAATACTATTTAAACGTATCTTAATAAGCATTCCAATACGACGGGTGCTATTGATTTATGTTCTTCTTTAATTAAATTATCGGATGTCTTGAAAACAAAACGAAACTCACCGAACTGACTTGACTCGCCTAACCGCAGTGCCCGCAACTATTATGTTGTCAAATCTTCAACCCTCCACACACACGTCCGACGTCTATAATATCAACATATTGTATTCGATACACATTTGCATTGGTAATTAGTTTATTATAATATATATATATATATATTTTTTATCGATTCTGTAACACCGATAGCGTTTTTACTGAATTTAATTTATAAGCTTGCGCCTATTTTATATGTGTGTTTATAGTATTTTAATATATTATACATATACCGTTGAGTATGTGTCTGCATGTGCGTGTGGACAACTCGATCCGGAAACCGGTACTCACAAAGCGTTGTGGTGTGAACGATAAATAACATTTTTGGATTTCACGGTTTAATCCTTGGGCACGGCGAAACAATTAGGCAATATCGCGTCTCCCGCGTGAACGCGACTAATCCAAACCCAAAGTTATCCGGAACGATAAACTATTATTATTATTGTATATTTTATTTTTTACAACCGTATATCTGTTAATGGGGATTTTTTTAGTCGGCGTCTGTTTGATTTCAACTAGAAATTATAATAACACATTAATAGTATGTTTTAACACTATGGACATAACAATTATTATAGTGATTTATTAGACCTCGTTGGTTGTTGTTGTACTTATTACTTATTTCTATTATATCTTATTTATTGTAATAATTACTATGCAAAGACCTATGACATAGACATATAGTCGTAGCTAGTGTTAAAAACGTTTTATTGGTAATTACTAGTTTCGGTGTTTCACACCATCATCGGGTTATGCGAAATTTGCATTAACAAAATGATTAAAATCAACAACATACTTACCTACCAAATTCACATAAATCATGCATAAAATACAAGTATAAAAAATATAAATCATTTCATCATTTTATGTAACCTGATTATTGCGAAATACCGGAACATTTTAAACACTGACAAATATTTTCTCCTTGAGTATTATCTTTTTAACTAAGAATAATTCGTTAGATTCCCAAATTGTACGTGTATACAAAATACATTATGAGCAATGCGTTAGAATGCTTTTGACATTAGA